TTTTGGCAGCTGCAGCACACTGCTGGCTCATATTTAGGTGATTGTCCACTAGGACTCCGAGGTCCCTCTCACAGTTACTACTATTGAGCAAGGTGCCACCTATGCTGTACTTGTGCATTTGGTTTTTCTTGCCTAAATGTAGAACCTTGCTTTTTTCACCATTGAATTTCATTTTGTTAGATAGTGCCCAGTGTTCAAAAGGGCTTCACAAAAGGGCTTCACAAAATCATGACTAGCTGAAAAGGGAGATCTTTGGCCAAGGTTTTCAAGGACTGGATTAGATCTGTGGTCTGCCAGCCCGTTGCAGCTGTCTTGGGTTGAGGCACAGATCATGGTTTGCTCATATTTGCTGAGTTTTTCATATCCTAACTATTTCGGCATTTAGGTTAACTGAGCTCAAACTTTTGTTTTATATTTCCAGTTTAACTTATTCTATTGACCTCTCTCTGTTTTAATTCGCAGCCACCTCCACAGATCTATGACAAGCAGTTGGATGAAAGAGAACACACAATTGAAGAGTGGAAAGGTAATTTTTACTTATACAAGCTATAGGAACTGATTTTGCACTTGGTGTCTGCCCTTGGCTCTCTGTCTCCCCACCCCCTGTTGCCTCCTGTACTCCATGGGGATTGTATTTTGGAAGATACAGTGAGTTGGCCTAATGTGCTAAGAAACAACATGTTGTCACAGGAAAGCTATAATGCCATAATTGGAACCAGTCTACCATTGGGCATAATGATAATAGATCCAGGCAGCAGATGCTGAAAGATGGCAGCAATGACTTCACACTAACTTTCCTATTACTCCCTTACTGCTGTAGTTACTGCAGGACAGAATTGTGTTCATTATACAGCCTGCACTTGATTCCTAAATTGTTTTCAGATGCAGTACAAGTAGTCCTCTCTTAACGACCTGTCCCCAAAATGTAGTTACAGACCGGTTCCAGAGTTACGGCAGCTGCCTCACTGCCTTACTGTGGTCACATTTTGGGCGCTTGGCAATTAACCCACATTTATGGATGTTTGCAGCATCCCATAATCACATGACCACAATTTTGCTGGTTTCTGGCATTCACTTCCGTATAAAATGGATTCATTTAATGACCACCGCATTTGCTTAATGACTAGGGCATTCATTTAACAATTTGCTTAATAACTGCCACCTAAAGGTCATAGAATCAGGAGCAGTCATGTGGGGATCCACTTAACTACCACACAACTTACAACTGCAATTCTGAATCAGTTATGGTTGTACGTTGAGGAGTATCTGTATTTATTATTTAATTATTATACTATGCAATAGCTATTGGCTTCAGCAGCTAGTGTAGTGATGGGAGATTTATGCCTCACGTTGTGAAATTTCTTGAGCTAGCCCTTTATAGAATACTCCTAGAAATATCAAGGGTTTCCTCAGCAGATGTAATGAACAAGCCTTCAAAGTCTGTGGCAATCAAAGCCAAGGAACCAGAAAACTCATCAAAGGTACTTTTCAAGAAATTGGTAGGGCATCAGGATCACCGTGAAGGAACTGAGGGTGGATCAATTTTGCAAGCCAGAAGACAAGTACAGGTAGTCCTCAACTTACGACCACAATTGAGCCCAACGTTTCTGTCGTTAAGCAAAACATTTGTTAAATGAGTTTTGCCCCATTTTGCGACCTTTCTTGCCACAGTTGTTAAGCGAATCACTGCAGTTCTTAAGTTAATCACACGGTTGTTAAATGAACCTCGCTTCCCCATTGACTTTGCTTGTCAGAAAGTCACAAAAGGGGACCACAATTGAGCCTGCGACACTGCAACCATCAGTATGAGATAGTTGCCAAGCATCTGAATTTTAATCACGTGACCATGGAGCTACTGCGGTGGTCATAAGTGTGAAAAATGGTCATAAATGACTTTTTCCAGTGCCGTTGTAACTTTAAACTGTCATTAAATGAACTGTTGTAAGATGAGGACTATCTGTAATTCCTCTGTTCTTCAAAGCCAGGGGTCCTCAAACTTGGCCACTTTCAGACTTGTGGACTTCAACTCCCAGAATTCCCCAGCCAGCAAGTCTTAAAGTGGCCAAGTTTGAGGACCCCTGTTCAAAGCAGTTGACTTGACTCAAGGGGAATTGTAGGATAGATGACAGCTAGGAAAAACATAGGTGGCTATTCATTTTTCTGCCCTTGCTTAGGAGGTTTTTATTCACTGTTAAGAGTGGTTTTAAACAATATGGGGAAATACAACAGTGGTCCCCAACCCTCAGTTTGTGGACCAGCATCGACCCGCGGCATGCCAGAAACTGGTCCGCACAAACAAGTGAAGCCCCATCTGCAGGAGGCAGGCACTACATGAAACCATGCCCCCTCCAGTCCACGGAAAAACCTTTCGCCATGGAACCAGTCCCTGGTGCCCCAAAGTCTGGGGGCCGCTGTAATAAAACTTCTTTAGTATGGGGAAATAATAAAACATCTTTATAACAAGCTCTTTTGTCTCTTGCAGAATTAATCTACAAGGAAGTAATGAATTCCGAAGAAAAGACTAAAAATGGTGTAGTGAAAGGACAACCTTCTCCCTCAGGTACTCAGTCCTAGTGAATGACAGTATTTTATATGGTTACAGATCCAGACCTTAAGACAGGTCCTTTTTTTTTCCATCTGCCTATAGAAATAGTACCCAGAAACAGTAGATTTTCATTGATTTGAAGCTAAGATCTATTCAGTGGTGGGATTCAAATATGTGAACAACCGGTTCTCTGTGTAGATGCCGCTTTCGGAAGTCCATTCTGGGCCTGGGCAACAAAAAATTAGCTACCGGTTCTGCCGAACTGGTGCAAACTGGCTGAATCCCACCACTGGATGTATTCCAAGTAACTTTATAGCCTTTTTCAACAAGGTCCCTTTTAAATATATAGGGCTGTGCAGATGTGTTTATGGAACCATAACTCCAGAATTCCTAGCTACTATTTTGAGAAGTTGTAGGATTTGGGCACCAGATTAGGAAGGCTGAGATAGAGCACTAGAAGATAAGCTCTATTAACTGAACTCAGTTAAAAAAAGAATTATATTAACTCCCAGCTAATCCACTTATCTAGGAATAAGCCCTGCTGAATTAATTGGGGCTTACTTCTAAATAATAATATATCAGATGGGACTGATTTGCTTTCAGAACTTTGAATGAATGAAGCTAGCTTCCCATGTCGTGTATTAATTCAGTGTTCAATGAAACATTAAGTCAGTAGTCAGTTCCTTAGCCATCATTAAGGGATTGACAGATGGTATCTTTTGTCTATTCCTACACTTGCCTTTTCACTTCAACTGCAGATTTACCACATATATTCCTCTGTTCTCTGTTATTATATCAGAAATTATTTCTGCATTGTTTTTCAGTCTGCTCTAGATAATATTCAACTTACATGCATTGTATGTGACTTACCAGAGGTTTGTTCCATCTCTCTTTTGTTTGTTTGTTTGTGCAGTTTGCTAGGAGTATCAAAACTTGGTGTGTGTGTGTGTGTGTGTGTGTGTGTGTGTGTGTGTGTGTGGAGTAACAGGAAGGCCAAATCCCTGGTTGATGTGCTGATATTCCAAAATTACTTTTAACCATTGTGAATGAAGATAAATTATATGTGTCCCAGGATAGTGCTGGGATAATATTGCAGGATTCAATCTGAGTTGGTCACTGGGACCAAAAGTTTATTCTTCCAAGCTTTTGGGCTCAAAGTTCTCCAAAGATGGGTTCCATCACGAGCCTGAAAGCTTGGAAGAATAAACCTTTGGCCCTGGTGACTGAGTCAGATTGGATCCTGCAACTTTTAACCATTGTTTACTAAGCAGTTGAAAATCTTGGGTTCACATCGTGGTTAAAATAAAATGATTGACAACTTGAAAAGGGAAAAAAAGGGGGGGGGGGAATTCAGACTTGTTGACTGTCCCATTAGAATATACAGTGTTTCTAACTGCTTCCTCTGGATGTAAAGGAGATGCATTTGTGATATGCAAACAACAATCCTTTTAAGATTTTATTGAAGCATATTATAATATAAAATACAAAGAAAAGCAAAGATAATAGGGGTAATAAGGGAGGACAGAGAAAAAGAAAGGACTGCATGGTAAGAGAAAAAGAAAAAAAGCAGTGACATCCAACTTTTTGCAGTGCAGTAAAATACAAAATACGGTTACAACCTCAATTTTTTTGCTTTATATATTTAGAAAGTATCAGCCATTTCTTTCACAACAAACTTAATATAATTGTTAAAACCTAAAATTAAAGTTGTAATTTTTTCCCTGTTTCAAACTTAAAGTCCACAAGCAGTTTTCAAATTGGAACAAAACTGGATAAATTTTTCTTTGATTAAAACAGTGAGTTTTGCCATCTCTGCCAACTCCATCACTTTTTCCATCCATTCTTCCATTGTATGAATTGGTGTATCCTTCTATTTTTATGTATATAGTAGTATTTGTTATATAAGAACAAATTTTCAATTTTTTCCAAGTTCTTTATTCAACAGTCTCTGCTTCATTTTTACAGTATATTTGTTATAAGGATCTTCTGAACAGAGACCAAAAAAACCCACCTCTTGGTCCAAATATTTTTTTAGTTTATTATATGCAAACAATAATCTTGTAAGCTATGGATGTCTGCATCTAATTCCCTTCAGTTATGTAAAACCTAAAAAAATCCATATTCATTTTGACAATAAGTAAGGTTGATAATAATAATAATAATAATAAAGTTGGAAGGGACCTTGGAGGTCATCTAGTCCAACCCCCTGCTCAGGCAAGAAACCCTATACCATTTTGCACAAATGGCTGTCCAGTCTCTTCTTAATTTGAAGGTCACAACCTCGTAAGTGGCGAAGACCTCCGTCCAACAAGGTGACCAATTAACAAGATTGACAGTCCTTCAAAGAGGAATCAAGATCCAACGAAGAGAGGAACGAATCAAAGGTGGGCAACGAAGAACAGGACGGAAGTCCGCGGAACCTCTTATCGAACTGAGGCTCTTCTTTGTGGCAGCCCCTGAGATACTGGAACGCTGCTATCATGTCCCCCCTCGTCCTTTTCTTCATTAAACTAGACATACCCAATTCCAGCAACTGTTCCTTGTATGTTTTAGCCTCCAGTCCCCTAATCATCTTTGTTGCTCTTCTCTGTACTCTTTCTAGAGTCTCAACATCTTTTTTACATCGTGATGACCAAAACTGGATGCAGGTTCCTTTAAGGATCATTATTGATATACTTTTCACTAAAGTTCAAGAATAATTAGGCCCCTGGTTCTCAACCTGTGGTCCGTGGACACCTGTGGGGAGGAGTTGCGTTGTCATCAAGCAAAGGCTTGAAGAAATGTTGTTATTTAAATCTTAAGTCTTGGTGGGCTGTACAAAAGGTATTTAAAGGGGGTCCATGGTGAAGAAAAGGAACCACAGAACTAGGCTGTCTAGCTCAGGGGTAGGCAACCTTGGTTGTTTTATGACTCGTGGACTTCAACTCCCAGAATTCCTGAGCCAGCATGGCTCAGCTTGGAAACCTCTCCCTTTCTCCTCAGCATGGCTGGCTCAGGAATTCTGGGAGTTGAAGTCCACAAGTCATAAAAGAGCCAAGGTTGCCTACCCCTGGTCTAGCTAAATAATTTCTTTGCCGTTTTGATTCAAATGTGGCTATTGAAACTATATTTGGCTTAGGACTCTGACCCTTTTCTACAGGAAAATTTATGACGCTATGTTATTCCTCTTTGGATGGTTGCTCACTGACTTTATCCTCACAAACAAGTACTGCTTCAAGTGCTATAAACCAGAGATAGTTAATATCTTCCACAGAGCCACAGAAGGCTTGCTGAGCTCATAAACCTGATTTTTTTTTTGGCCTGTTTTTAGATTCCTAAATATAGGAATGGAAAACAAAGAGCTTGGAAACAAAGTATTTCCATTTCAATCCTTAAAATCTTCCCAACATTAAAAAAAAAAGGAAATCGTGTCAAAGGAATCTTTTTATGTTGCTAAAGGGGTTGAATTTCAGTGATGTGATTTGGAGATAATTGTCAGGATTTTTGATAGGAGAGGATCGGGGGAGGGTGACCCTGGTCCCTCTTTTCCTCGAGATTTTAGTGATGCTAGAGAGTTATCTGAGATCTAATGTTAACCTGAATTCCAGCCCAAATTTACCATTCTGTCCATAGTACATTTTCTTGCTCCGTTTTTCTGTTAGCCATATTTATATTTCTGCATGTTTTCCACATTTGCTTCTCCTGTTCTTCCAGTTTAGAAGGTAGCAAGCAGAGGAAGACAGGACTCCTTTGTTGTTTCCACTGGTCTCAAGCGAACATCACAGGCCAACAACTGTCCACAACAGGGGTAGTCAACCTTGGCTCTTTTATGACTCGTGGACTTCAACTCCCAGAATTCCTGAGCCAGCTGTGCTGGCTCAGGAATTCTGGGAGTTGAAGTCCACGAGTCATAAAAGAGCCAAGGTTGACTACCCCTGGTCCACAAGGAGGGTAAAACAGAGGATTCAGACTCCCCCCCCCCAAAAATTTCTTTTTGAGACTTCCCCATCATGGAGAGCGAATGCAAAACTAACATCAATATTGGTTTTCTTTTCCTCACTAATCTCCCTGCACCATGTTTTTGCTCAGCACAGAAAAGCCGAAAGGAATTGCGGGTAGATGGCTGGATTAGCATAAGTCTTTCAGTACCACACATTTGTTTCAGTTATGTCAGAAAGGCCATTCAACAAGTTCTTACCGAGCCGAAAGTGAGGGACAGAATACACAAATTTGATTTAAGAGCTTACTGAGCTGTGGCCCAGCACCATCGTTCTCAAAGATGGAGTGGATGTCAGAATAAATCATTGTTCATGGGCAAATTTGTCATATAAAGCCCTGCCTCGTAGGTGATTTATGAGGAACAATAGTAGGATGTGCTTGTAGGGCGAAATAATATAGAAGGACTAATTAAACTTAGCCTTCGCTTAAAATGGAGGATCACCTTACTCCAGACTACTGTTTGTGACCGGCAGAAAACTTGTTATTTCCCTCTTTCCTGATAAACAGAGGACTGTTGTTTTAAACACACCTCACTGATTTCCTTGTAATTGCAGGTAGTCCTCGACTTAGAACCATTCATTTAGTAACTGTTTGCACTTACAATGGCACTTGAAAAAAGTGGCATGACTAGTTTTCATATTTATGAACATGGCAGCATCCCCATGGTCACATGATCAAAATTCAGGTGCTTGGAAATTAACATGTATTAATAATAATAATAATAACAACAACAGAGTTGGAAGGGACCTTGGAGGTCTTCTAGTCCAACCGCCTGCTCAGGCAAGAAACCCTATATCAGGGGTAGGCAACCTTGGCTCTTTTATGACTCGTGGACTTCAACTCCCAGAATTCCTGAGCCAGCCATGCTGAGGGGAAAGGGAGAGTTTCCAGGCTGAGCCATGCTGGCTCAGGAATTCTGGGAGTTGAAGTCCACGAGTCATAAAAGAGCCAAGGTTGCCTACCTCTGGCCTATACCATTTCAGACAAATGGTTGTCCAGTCTCTTCTTAAAAACTTCCAATGTTGGAGCATTCACAACTTCTGGAGGCAGGTTGTTCCAGGTTTGTTATGATAGTTGCATTGTCTTATAATCAACCTTTCGTAACCTTCCCAGATGGCTTCCAACAAGCAAAATCAATTGGGGAAGCTAAATTCATTTAATTATTGCATGATTCACTTAACAATTGCTGTGATTCACTTAACAACTATGGCAGAAAAAGGTCATAAAATGGGGCAACAGTCACTTAACTACTGCCTGGCTTAACAACTATGGCAGGAAAAGGTCATAAAATGGGGCAACAGTCACTTAACTACTGCCTGGCTTAACAATGGAAATTTTGTGTTCCATTGTGGTTGTAAGTCGAGGACTATTTATACATATTTACTTTTAATTTCATAGAATTTAAGTTGTATCATTTTTATTTTTATCAGGAATGATAAAATGAACTGTAGCATAAAACAGTAATTTTCCGGGTTCCATCTTGAGAGAATTGTATCTGTAGAGAGAATGTGTTAACTGAACACCAAGATCATGCAATATAACTAATTAAAAATAATAGAAAAGGACAGTGAGGGAGGGAGAGAAAAACCTATTTCTTTATTATAACTAAAGAAACAGCTCTCTAATACAACTCTTCAGCCACAGCCTGCAGTAATTCATGGCTATCAATCAAAGACTAGATATTTATATATTTAAATGTATTTGTTGCCTGACTCCCAGTGACTCTGGTTGGTTACAATTTTGTTAAAATCTTTAAAAGAAGAAATTAAAATTAGAAAAGTGTATCTGAGAAACCATCTCAGATACCAAAGGGATTAACCTGCCCCACCTGGGCCAGCAGAAAGGGGATGCTGCGAACCTGGTCAGACCAGGAATTTTGGAGTCCAGGGGAAGAGCCTTTTCTGCTGTGGCTCCCGCCCTCTGGAACATCTTGCCCCGCCCCCTCTGAGGTCAGATCCACTTTGGAAAAGGCCTTGAAGACATGTCTGTGCCAACTAGCCTGGAGCCCCAACAGGTGTGCAGCATTTCAAAGGTGGTTAATGGAGTAGAGAACACCCTCCTCCCTGTGTGCATTTTGTTCCCTTCCTCTCCATCCTGCTTAGTTTTATATTAATTGAATTTTAAATTTAAGATCCTTATTTATTGTTTTCATGTTTTAGAGTGCATTTTAATCTGTAAGCCACCAAGAGTCGCTTTTGGCAAGATTGGCAACTTATAATTTTAATAATAAATAACAATAATAAATAAAATAAAAAATGTAAAGAAATAATAATAATATTAATAGCACTTATATATCGCTTCATAGTGTTTTACAGCCCTTTTTAAATGGTTTACAGAGTCAGCATAATGCCCCCAACAATCTGGGTCCTCGTTTTACCAATCTTGGAAGGATGGAAGGCTGAGTCAACCTTGAGCCAGTCAGGATCGAACTCCTGGCAGTGGGCAGAGTTTGCATGCAATACTGCATTCTAAGCACTGCACCACCAGGGCTCCTTATAATAAGTGCATATTGGTCACTTCTCAAGGATGGTAGAAAACACAAGATTGGACAACTGAAAAGCACATGGGTTACTTTAAGGAGTTGGTGATTGCAGTGGAAAACCAAAGTAATACAAAGCATTTTCTCTTTATTCTATTCAGTATTGATGAAATCCAGTAAGGGATGCATTATACATCTCTAAGCAAATCAAATATTGCAATCTCTTGGGTGGTAAACGTGTTAGTTGTATTCATCAATTACATTAATCCAATTAATATTTTAATTACATATTCATCACATTCATTACATATTAATTACATTACATTGATGTTAATTACATTTAATTACTAATTAATTAATTGCAACTAATTTTATGGCTCATGATAGGAAATCTCCCACCACCCCCAGATATTTTTTGGGGAATTGTAGCATTTCCCAAATAAATTTTACTAGAGCCAAAATTAGCAAGCAGACCCCTTTTGTTCCTGCGACTTAAAAAAAACCCAAATCCCTAACCCAATTTACTATTCTTTGTATCATCCTCATGTAATTGGCTGCCAGAAGCCTGATAACTTGGAAATTAGACCAAGGACTCATGTGTCTCTTCCTCTGTCTGGCCACCTAAGTAATTTTTTTTCCTATTGAGGGCCATGTACCAACAATGTTAAGGATGGAGGAAACCTGAGGTTAAAGCAAGACCTCTCCTTTCTCTTCCAACCAGCCAGTCTTCCAGGGAATCAGGACTGGGCATAGACCAGGGGTGGGGAACTATGGCCCTTTTATGACTTGTGGACTTCGACTCCCAGAATTCCTGAGCCAGCCATATTGGCTCAGGAATTCTGGGAGTTGAAGTTCAGAAGTCATAAAGGAGCCATAGTTCCCCACCTCTGGCATAGACAATGTAACTGGCCATTTTTGTTTAGCTTAGAGCAGGGGTAGGCAACCTTGGCTCTTTTATGACTTGTGGACTTCATCTCCCAGAATTCCTCAGCCTGCCATGTTGGCTCAGGAATTCTGGGAGTTGAAGTTCAGAAATCATAAAGGAGCCATAGTTCCCCACCTCTGGCGTAGACAATGTGACTGGCTATTTTTGTTTAGCTTAGAGCAGGGGTAGGCAATCTTGGCTCTTTTATGACTTGTGGACTTCATCTCCCAGAATTCCTGAGCCAGCCATGTTGGCTCAGGAATTCTGGGAGTTGAAGTTCAGAAGTCATAAAGGAGCCACAGTTCCCCACCTCTGGCATAGACAATGTAACTGGCCATTTTTGTTTAGCTTACAGCAGGGGTAGGCAACCTTGGCTCTTTTATGACTTGTGGACTTCAACTCCCAGAATTCCTCAGCCAGCTTTGCTGGCTGAGGAATTCTGGGAGTTGAAGTCCACAAGTCATAAAAGAGCCAAGGTTGCTTACCCCTGGCTTAGAGAAGCTGAGGAACATTAGGCGTTATCTCCCTCCTTTCACGAATGTTTAGATTTTGTCCTTTAGAAAGAAGAAATGCCAGACAGCACCGGAGGGCTGGATCTGAGAGGTACGTGCATTTATTCTGGTCTCTTGAGTGTTCCCTTGCTTCCAGGTTGAATCACGTCGGTGTTCATTTTCTTAGCACAGGTGCAGCAGTGAACAGCAGCGAAAGCCTCCCTCCCTCCTCATCTGTCAATGACATTTCCTCCATGTCCACAGACCAGACCCTGGCATCGGACACTGACAGCAGTTTGGAAGCTTCTGCAGGACCCCTTGGTTGTTGCAGGTGACTAGCCGCCTGCCTGCGAAACCCGACGTTCTTCAGAAGATGATGCAGTTTATAGGGTGACAAATCAATGGTGATTAGGAAAGAATTTGATGATGGCAAGGAAGAGAGAGAGAGAGAGAATGAGAGAGAGAGAGAGGAAGAGAGAGAGAGAGAGAGAAATCAAAATACACATACTGATTAAGCAAACAAAAAGTCCCTTTCAGCCTGCTTCTCCTAAAAAAAAAAAGAGTAATGTAAATGCAGCTAAGCTCGAGTGTAATATTTAACTTATAGTTGCTCTGCTTTGGTCTTCTTCCAACAATGCTTACTGCATAAAAAGAGAGAAAGAGAGAGAGAGAGAGAAAAGCAAAAAGAATAAGAAAAAAAATTAAGAAAAAGAGTGAGAAAAGAGGAAAAAAGTTTTAAAAGAGCTTTTTTTCATTAAAAATGGCAAATTTTAATGGTTGTAAAAACAGCAATCTGCAACTGTCCTTTCTCATAATGGCATGACAAGGTGGACAGTCCCCTCCTTTTCTGTGTATACATGTGTGCTTATTTAACTGCTCTCTGTTTCTGTTTTGGATAAATATACAGAGAACTGCACATGTATCTTGGTGTACATACATACAAATATGCATTTGAAGATACAGTATACATGAAGCTGTGTGTATGCATAAACTGAAGAAGCAGGAGTCTTTATGTCTACACGCAGCCTGCAGTGGAGAACAACCTCCTGTTGTGTTTTTAATGGCATTTTCATCTGTAATATAATCTCAGTGTACAGTATAGCTTGTTTAGTTGTTCCATGGGTTAGTTTAAATTATTTTATGGCTAAAATCTTAGAAAGCTCACTTCTGAGTTGGTATGTGTGGGGCTAAACTGGAATTGTGTACAATCAGAATCAAACTGAAGTTTTCTCAGAATCTTGATGATGTAGCATCTTAAATTCAGTGTTGTTTTAACAGCAACTTTTGGGGAGGAAAAATATAGGATGGTGACCTAACCAGTTAGTTATTCATACCCATGGCCATAGAAATTGGTTTTTAGAATATTCATATATGGAAATAGCATGTTTTTCTATGGACATTGTTAGGAGAGGAACTCATTTCTATCATATTGTTCATGTGAACTTTTTGGAAGCTCTTAGTTGGCGCCTGTGGATCTTCTGATCCAATGTGTGTCATCTTAAGTGAAGAGGAGAGAATTACTAAGCACCACCCTGTCTATTGAAAGTGACCATCAGTTTTATTGAAAGGTGTTGTATAAATTAGACAAGTAATAACAAGCATGGATAACTGGTCCCTAGCCTCAATCACATCCCTGGACCTGTGTCTTGGAAAAAAGTTGCATACTTCTGTCCTAGTTTGGTTTTGGGAAACTAAAATCCACCAGGCATAAAATGTTACAAGATTCCTCTTTGCAGAATTTTCAGCAAACTGTCAAATAATTATCAGGTTCTACATCAAGGCAGATTGGATAATTTGCTAGGCAAATATGAGCCGTGGTTTTATTTCTTAGATCTGAATAGAACATTACAATATCACAGTCTGAAAATTTTTTACTGGAAGAGGCAAACATTTTTCCCTGGGCAATAACAGGTACTTATTTGTAAACTACATATTTTGGCTGCTTCTTGAACCATATGGTGTATTCCCTGTATGCAGAAACATAATGAAGTCCAATTACAAGAAGATAATATCGCAGATCTGTTTATTCATAGCAATTTACCAAGTCAATGTGTTTGAGGCTGTGAATGACTTCTTAATTTGGTTTAAAATTTCCCATTTATGTAAGGGTTATATCTCTAACTACTTTGAGCTTTCACTTTTTCATCCAGACAATCTAAACCAGGCATGCTCATGATGTTAGTAACTTTATCAACTAGTGTTGTAAGATATATTACTTGAGCAAGAAGTTAAGGCAAAGATCTGCCTGCTTCATATGGGACAATGTTCAAACATGTCATCTGAGGACTTGGGAATGCAGGAGCAAAAATGTTCTGGAATGATGAAGAAGCTCTGAAGGACTCCATCTTCTCTGCACATATAGCTTGTTCCCTGTTCTCAGTCAGACCAATGGTGTACCGTACCTGGTCGTGAGGAGCAATGTCACAAACCTGGCTTTTTTTTTTCAAAACTCAGGTGCTGAATCTGTTGATACCTGAATGAATGGTAGGACTGTAGTCTAACTTTTAAAGGATATCTGAGATGTCATTTATTTCCCCTAAATAAAGCTAGAAATCAATGCTTATGGATTAACCTGTACAGATTGCCATTAAGCCATGTTCAGAATGGCAGAAAATGTTAACATCATTTGTTATGTTCCATTTTCGTTCATGAAAAACCTCAACCTTCTTACATATCCAAGTGGTTAGAGCAATTCTGCTCTATTTCCCAGATGGCTGTGATATTGGGAAGATTCATTCCAGAGAGTAAACCGAACAGGGAAGTCCAATGTCTTCTCCAAGGTTAGAGTCAGGGATTCAACTCTGGAGGTTGAAATTCAGCCCCTTGTGTAGCCCTTGAAAACACAATCCCAAAATATCAGGTACTTATCTTTAACAACTGTCAGGGTTAGATGATGTGAATCAAAACAAAATTAACTTGCTAGTTAATTTCAGTGAAGGCAAATAAACATAAAGTATGCACAATTAATACACAGCTGCAAGTCACCCTAGCAAGCATGTTTAAGCCTGTTAATATTGCACTGGTCTGAATTCCATACAATATTAGGAGTATTTCTAATGATGTAATATAGTTTCAGTTGCTAAGTAAGATAGTGAGGGAGTAGATTTTTCTTTGAAGAAAACAAATCAGAAAGTTTAGTTGTGCAGTATGTATAACAGCAATAAGCAATAGGTTATTACTGCAAATATACATATATAGATATAGATAGATAGATACATATATATATAGCAATATAGGGGACAATCTACTAAGTGCCACTAAAAGTCATAGCCATGTGGGTGGTATGTATACAAGAATCACATGCAACTTCCGTACAAATGAAAGTCACACAGCGGTGCTTAATCTGTTGCCCCCGTATTCTTTTCAAAGCCATGAAACGATGTTATCTCATGTGGCATTGTAACTTGAATCCAGCCTGGAAGAAATCCCAATACACAAGAAATGGTATTATTTACAAGAGGGACAACGGTGCGTTTGGGGATTCCATAAAGGCAATAACAGAGAAATGATCTTCTAAGCAATAATGATGTTTGCTTGATGTGTATTTTCTTTCCTAATATCACGGGCAATTAAAAGCCACTTCCCGCTGTCCGCCATTTTGGTACTGACAGGATTAAAACCTGGGAGTTGTTTGGAATCAGACATTATCGTAAGATGTGATTGTTAACTGTCACCAGAAATCACAATCAACAGCAAAAGCAGCTGAGTTTAGCGAAGATACTAAATCACTCAGGACAGTGAAAATGCCAAGCAGCATTTATAAAAACGAATGAATGAATAAATAAATAAATAAATAAAATCTCTCTCCACACTGGATATGGCAGATGAGATTTTACAAAAGCACAAGGTGAGGGTGTTAGGACCAAATCTAATCAGTGCACTAATCTACAATGGCTTAAGAAAAATACAGGTAGTCCTTGACTCACGACCACAACTGAACCCAAAATTTCTGTTGCTCAGTGAAATAGCGTTGAGTTTTGCCTCATTTCACAACCTTTCTTGCTACAGTTGTTAAGTGAACCATTGCAGTGGCTAAGTTGGTAACGCGGTTGTTAAGTGAATCTGGCTTCCCCATTGACTTGTCAGATGGTCAAAAAAGGTGATCACATCATCCCGAGATACTGCAACCGTCATAAATATGAGTCAGTTACCAAGCATCTTAATTTAGATCACGTGACCATGGGGTTGCTGCCACAATCATAAGTGTGAAAAATGGTCATAAGTCGCTTTTTTCACTGCCGATATTGAATGGTCGTTAAATGAATGGTTGTAAGTCGAGGACACCTGTATTTGTATCAGGTGGTCCTATATATTAAGAGAATTGTCATTACTAATTACTAAGAAAAGGATTCAAAATCAAGCAACTGGTGTCATAAGTCCATTGCATCATCTCTTGTCCACTCATCACTTAAAAGTACTGGATGCCATTCTGGGCAATTTATTTCCAAAAGGATGTAATCAAAATTGAGAAAAGAATGACGGATTAATGATTGAGGAATAATTTGAGGCAATCAAGTTCTTCTGAGGATATGTTGATAAGCTTTGTTGTTCCATTCATAAAGTTTATAAAGAGAGAAAGTGAAGAAAGACGGCTAATATTAAACAGTTGAATGCTCAGAATTATCTACAGATGTAATTGTAGTGGTTATAAATAAAGGGAAATAAGTATTTAACCATGCAATCGATGATTAAGATGAATATCATTGTTGCAGAATGGGTCAAGGTCAATTCAGAAAGATGATTAACTGAAAGTCAGCTACTTTCTTGGTGTTTCAGATATTCCAACATACATTAGAAAATTATCAAGACAATGGCCAGAACATGTAGGATTTTATTGATTGATTGGTCCATGAGGTTTGTTCATACTCTTCGTGATGATAACTTGGCATAAGTAAAGCAAATTACAATGTGTCTCACTTATTGTCAACTTCAAAATAGGAATGCTGGAATATGTCACAGGCAATTTACCCTGCCTTCTAATCGCTGAACCTGAATTAAATAGATTTTCAGAATCACATCAAAATATGTGTACAACAATGTTAACAACCAGTTGAATGAAAATTGGATTGCAGATGGAAATGGAAGGGCATGCAAAGCTGCTTATATCCAAAAAGTTCTAGAGTTAACTAGAAACAAAGTAATGATATAAAGTGTTTCATTTTATCATACCCACAATGAGAACTGATAGAAAGGATAATGTCCAACTGACATTATCTGCATTTAAGATAGCATAATGCAGAAACCCTTTATAGCTTGGTGGTTAGAGGATGAATAATAGCCAGTTTGACCACAGTAGGTATAGAAATGATGCAGAATAATTCACAAACAAAGCAAT